TATTAGAAGTGATTCTACGTTTTCGAATAATTTGAACATAAACGAGTTGCCATGATTTCTGATCCTTTGATGTCTTCGATTGACTCAGAACCGGCTGAGACTAGCAACATAAATAATATCTTTATTAGACCTCGCGAGGTCATAAAGAAACCAAATGACATTCACGAAACATTTTTGCATGGGACAAGAATAAAGATTTTTTTTACATCGTTCATATATTAAACAATTTCTCGTCCATAAAATTCTAATAGTACCTTGAACTCCTACACGTACACGCGTTCTAACTTCGTCATAAAGTTTGCTCATCGACAGGTAACACGTGTAAGCAAAAGGTCGTGCCGCATTTGTTCGCATAATCTTGTATCTAATGAAATTCCTTGAGAACAGAGTTGGAGCGAGTCGCGGCGCCCTCGAATTAATAACAGGACTGTAGACATTTTTCCAGGGAATTAATTGCGGCCTCGGGACGAGGCTACGAAGTGCAAATAAACTCAAAAGTGCCCTTGAGCTGCTTGCGCCATTCGATAGTTTATAAAAAGAGAAACATTCACTCCAATTTTTAGTTCTATATTTCAACCAGAGGGATAGTAATCGTGAAAATTCGAAAAATCAGTTTTTTGAGATTTTTCCTTATTTAACACCTTGCGAAAAATCAGAGAAAATTCTGACATCTTCCTATATATCAATATTATAACTGAAAGCAGTTCTCGATAATTATTTATTTGTTGAAAAATTCATCGAGAGTGATCTTCCAGTTAGTAACCATAATTTTTACTTAGACGTACTTAGTCCAGAATTACATCCTGAACGTTTCAAGTCATTAAGAATAACGAGATGCAGAATATTTAATGAATTCGTTCATACGACCAAGGAGAGAAGTTGAGATCATTAAATATGTAGAAACGTTTTACCTAATACCGTGATTGAGCTAGAGACTAGCATGGCTAGGAGCCACACAGCCGCTATCTTGAAGCCGACCATCCGTTTGGTGGACGTGTGCCGCGTCCTCAACGGGTTTCGGATGCCCAGATACCGGCCCAGCGAGATGAAGCACATGTGCATTATGCTCGCTGAACACGCCAGCACGTCACACGTCACATAGACGTTGCACCAGACCACGCCGAACGGCCAGTACCCTGTAAAAGAATTTCGACGAAACGTTGAAATTTCGATATAAGAACATCCATCGAGGTAAAACGTAATCGATAGGGTTTAATTGAACGTCGTCGGTGGAATGTCTTCCACGTCAGTTTCCGTTAAGATATCAGCCCGGCGGACCCATTCATTCCTAAGCTCCTTATTTTAACGCAAACCCTATTATTAGCCGGATACTCGGAATAACTGGTCGTTTAGCTGGAAATAATTTCCAGCGAACCAATCGAATTCCCGTTTTCAACTGGAATACCTGGATCCCTGCTTTCGAGTGTCTACGATATTTCTACAGGGAGCTGCTGCCTCTCGAAATACGAGCCTCGCCGGTAATTATCGCGGAATTTTAATTCCTCCGAGTCTAGACGGCGTGAAAAATATACGCCTCGCTTAAAAAGATTTCTCCTAGAATTTTCTCATCTATAATCGTACCTAACGGCGAGTAAAATGTCTCACGGTCAGGCATTAAGGGATCTCCAATTTGTCCAGTCGAGAACGCGACCTGAAAACAATTTTCAATCTCCACGATTTTTTTTTATTACTATAAGAA